AGGCTGGGTGGTAGGGCCGTGGGGGCCTCGTGCCTGGGGACGGTGGGCCGACCCGTCAATGTCTTGGGCGGACGTTTTGGAGGGAGGCAAAGAGGACTTTCCGGGGGCGGTATGCGAGGCCAGGGTAGACTGCTCTTCCATCTTGGCTCCCTCCGACCGTCCTATCTCCGTCCCTCCCGAGGCCACTGGTGGGAAGGGAAGCGGTCGGCTCCGGGTCGCCTTGTGCATGTGCCCACTCAAGAGGCGACGCACGCTGTCGAGCCCTGGGGTGGCACGGCTGGGAGGGTCGAGGGAGGGAGGGGAGCTGGCAGGGAGGGAAGAAGGGGTCCCAGACGTGGGAAAAGGCAGGAATGCGGGCGATGCCGAGGGGAGAGGGGGAGGGTCCGCCGGGTGCCTCGCTTTTGCCTGCGTACCCTGCGTCGTTCTCTCACATCTCTGTCGTGCGAAATAAGATGAGGAAACGAGCTTGAGAATCTGCATTGGACACGCATGCGTGCGGTATGATTATGCTCAAGGGATGCAGAGCTCGCAAGGGTCAGATGGAAGTCGCTCCCTCGTCGACAGACCCTGCACCCACGTCCAGAGCCATCCCGCTCTATGCAGCCCTGTTCACAGCGTTGTCGTCCTTGACTCACCTCGGTTCCACGATCTTCTTTCTTTGTTTTCCGTTCTAGGCCCGAACTTTCCATTGAGGGAGCGCGAACATCTGTCGGCTGTCCTACCCCCTCCTCTGCTACTCGAGGTCGTTTTTGGCTTTTTTTCTCCTTCTTAAGGCCATGTCGTGACCGCACTCGCGCCAGATACTGGGCAAGCTTGTCGTTCTTCTCGGCTTGGCCGTCTTGTCGATTTTCGAGCGCCTCTGTGGCTTCGTACCGCTCAATAGCAAACATATCTAGTGAAGAGTTGCGTACAAGTTGTACCCCTTTTTAAAGCAAGTTAGTACCAACATCGCTCGTCCAGAATCCTGTCGACATAAACCAAAACAGGATTAAAAGCATGCGGGAGGAGAGAATGAGTCATACGAGGGGCTAAAGGCAAAATCTAAGGCAGGGTACCGCCACAAAGGTTTGGAAATGGGAGGAGGTTAGCAGGAGGAGTCCTTCTTGTTGATATGGCCAATGCCTGTTTCTCCCAAAACCTTGGCCATCGGTGGTCTGTTGTAATTATTCCTGCGCCAAAGTCATTCTCCACATCGCACTTACTTGCCTCGAAGCACCACGCACTGGCCTACGCTTCAATTGAACTCTCTTCAGACAGTCCCCAGGTCAAGGGAGAGGAGCCCTGCCGCCCATCATCCCCCGGGCCTCACGCTCAAAAAATGACTGGTGCAATTATTCCCGAAAGTGTCTCTTTCTCGTATGTGTCCAACCGCTGCACAATCATACGCTTGTGGGAGTCGTTTGGTGCGTGCAAGCACACGTGGGAGGGCAGTGGTAACATGTGCCCGTGGAAACCAGGTGCCGCTGCTACCCGTCGCTTAAATGAGAAGAATTCTTGAGAAGCGCGGTCCGCCCTCCCTTCAAACTTTAACCCAAACCGAACAACCCCGTGTGGGAACCTCGTAATTGGTGTTGGATAGCATACGTGACACTGGGCATATCGTGCGGGAGGAAGGGCCTGGATGGACCTGGATCCTGTCGGATTTTTTGGGTTCACCTGCCCGCTAGTTCGCCAGAATCGGTATCAGACTGTAACCCCCTTGCTACCTTCCCCAATACACAGGTTTGCTATCGGTAGGAGCACAGCACCGGCAGGATAGGACCCAGCTCTTGCGGAGGGAGCCATGGCAAGTGAGGCAGGTGCATGCCAAACCCGAAATGTGGGAAACTACGACGACGATGAAGAGGAGGAGAAGGAGATCCCGCCCCTGGACGAGGGGGACATCGCCTTGCTGAAGACATACGGATTGGGACCGTACACGACCAGCATCAAGAAACGCGAGGAGGATATCAAGAATTTACAGGTCCGTGTGAAGGAGGTTCGGGACGGATTTGTAGTGGCTTCTTGAAGGGAGGCGGAGGTGGACACGGACCGTACGCCTCGGTCCTTGCGGCTCAGCCGTCTCTCCCGATGCTGACTTCCTCCGCACGTACTTGCACCATCTCACGTCGGCAATTTACCACAGGAGAAAGTGAAAGAGCTGATAGGGATCAAGGAAAGTGACAGCGGCCTCTCCCTCCCATCCCAATGGGACCTGGTCTCTGACAAGCAGATGATGCAGGAGGAGCAACCATTGCAGGTAGGGAAACGGGGGGCGGCATGGGGGAGGACAGGGAAGGGTAAACAGAAAGGAAAGAGCATGCAGAGCTAGGGGACGGAAGGGACGGAAGGGAAGGGGACGCAATGAGCTGATGTTCCCTCCCTCCCTCCCTTCCCCCTTCAGGTGGCCCGATGCACCAAGATTATCAATCCGGGGCAGGACGACGCCAAATACGTGATCAATGTGAAGCAAATCGCCAAGTTTGTGGTGGGCTTGGGCGACAAGGTCTCTCCCACGGACATTGAGGAGGGCATGCGCGTTGGCGTGGACCGCACCAAGTACTCCATTCAGGTCGCCTCCCCCTCCTTCCCGTCCTCCCTCCCGCCCTCCTTCCTTTCCTTCTCCTGCTTTCCTGCCCGGTAGTCTTGGGGCTCTTGGATGCTTATCCTCCTTTTTCCCTTCGTCTATCCCTCCCTCCCTCCCTCGCCCAGATCCCCCTTCCCCCCAAGATCGACCCGACCGTCTCCCTTATGACTGTGGAGGACAAGCCGGACGTCACCTACGACGAGGTGGGCGGGGCGAAGGACGCGTTGGAGAAACTGAGGGAGGTGGTGGAGCTGCCCCTCCTCCACCCGGAGCGCTTTGTGAGGGTCGAGTCGAGGGAGGAGGTAAAGACGAGGACCAA